TCCTAACGAAGGAGCCGCTCTGTCCAATGCAGCAGCCACGTGCCACCCCGCAGCCCTGAGCCGTGGCTCCTGGGAGCTGAGCTGTGTCAACCATGTAGGAGGTTTCAAAGGCTCCATGTGACGTGAGCATGGAACCCATCATAGCAATAATGCCATGTGGATCACATGCTGACATGATAATATTTTGGATAGGTTGGATTAAGTGGAACATACTAAAATGAATTTTGCACGCTTTTTAACCTATTTTTTAAATTCTGGAAAATGGAACACATGTGAGTGGCTCACGTTATGTTTTGCTTGGACAACACTAACCTAGGTGCCAGGGCTGACTCTTAGCTACTTACTAAGCATCGAACACTCATGGTCATTGTGATGTGGCTGCTTCTTTATCATGTGAGCTCTTAAATGATAAATATTATATCTATTCTTGTGTTAAAGTATAAAGAGGTTCCCAAAGCAGCATGAGTAACTTGGCGAATTCTCTTTTCTGGGTGACAGGTGGCACTATTGCCACCCAGAAGCAGGCCAGAGCGCGGCGGTGCCCATTGCCCGCTGCTGGGCCCGCGGGTGCTAGCTCCTGCCTGACTGAGGGGCCGACCAGGAGGAGGAGGTGGGGACACGGTGCACCACGGTCCCGTCTCCACCCACCACGCATGTATGAAAGACCCTGGTAGTCTGACCTCAGAGAGCTCTGCTCCTCCAAGCCCAGGGCCCCCAAGTCCTGAGTGACATGTTATTTCCTCAGCATGCTCAGAGATGCAAAACTTCTAGGGAGCAGAGGCTGCGGGGGAAGCGGGGAACGAACTAGACCACCGGGTGAGACCGAAAACAGACACGGCCCCCCTCAGCAGCCCTCACCTTTTCCTGGGAAATGTGGGATGGATGGGAAACCCGCGTGTTCAGAACAACCCGAGGGAGCTGCGAGGCCGGCCATGCAGCCCTGCCCCGTCCTCTCCCTGCCCCGCCGATTCTTCCCTCTTAGCGTCTGGTAATCGCCCAAAGTCTACCGCAGGGAGTGAACGGAGGCTCAGAGAGGTAAGAAACAGACTCACAGATACAGAGAACAGACTGACAGCTGTCGCAGAGGAGGGGAGGCGGGGTGGAGAAGGTGAGGGGATTAACCAAAAGAACCCCCAAACTCAAAGACACACACAGCAATGTGGCGATTCCCAGTGGAAAGGGGGTGGGGCAGGCAGGAGAGCACAGAGAGGGTAAGCGGTGATGGGAGGAGACTTGACTTCGGGCTTAGGGAGTGAACACACAACACAATACACAGATGATGTGCCATAGAATCGTACCCTTGAAGGCTATATAACTTTATTAACCAATGTCACCCCAATAAATTCAATAAAATATTTTTTTAAAGTAAAAAAAAAGAAGAAGAAAAGAAATGTTCTGAGTGAAACAGCATGTCTCCGGCCTGACCTCGGTGGGTTGTCTTTTGTCACCAGAAGCCTGCCCCGTCAGGAGCACCGTCGCTGCGCCAGATCGCCGTTTATCACGTCTTTCTCCTCCTTGGCAACTTAAATTAAAATGTCAGCGAGGAGAAATGTCTCAGAAAGGCGCTGGGAGACTTGTAAACAGCGGCATTAATCAGGGGAGACGAGTGAAGAGCTCGTTTAGCAGGGGAACATCACTGTTGACACAAGACAAAAGTCTTGGCAAAACCAAGACCGCGAAGTGACGGACAGAGCAAACAGAAAGCAGCTCCGTGAATCAGTAAAAGGGAACCAGCGTGTGCCGTGGAGCCCGGGGCAAGGCCTTGTTGTGTGAGGGGCGTTGCTAGGCAGCCAGCCTCCAAACACACAAATACTACCCAGAGCATTCCCCATCCCCCTTTGCTCCAAATTAAAGTGGGCACGCACCACTCAGGTGGCGTAAATGTGTGACGAAATGCAATGCCAGGCCCGGAGCCAAGGCATCGCGTACTGTATGGCTGCCTTTGTGTGGCATTCTAGAAAAGCCAGGCTGCCATGACAGAGAGCAGAGGAGGGGTCGCCGAGGCTGGGGTGCGGGGAGAGGATCGCCCGCAAAGGGCTAATGGAGACCTTTTAGGGTTCTGGAAATGGTCCATGTCACGAGGCTGGCGGGGGGTTACACAACTCTAACATTTGCCAAACTCATTCAAGTGAACACTTCCAGTTGCTGAATTCTATTGCATGTAAATTGTGTCGCGATAAAGTGGATTTAAAAGGACATCTAATAACTCGGGGTAGCATTTCTATTTTTTGTGTGTCTGACTTAGACTAGGTGAAATTTGCCAACCCTTAGGTGACAGAAAAGAGGCACCGTTCCACTCAGAATGTCGGCTGGAAGTGGCGAGGGGTTCTCAGCCGCGGCCGCCGGCCCTGGAGCTGCCAAGTCGTTCCTGGCCGGATGCCACGCGAGACACAGCTTTTGGCTTCCGAGGTCCTGGGACGCCCAGAAAGTGGGTCGTGTTTCAGGGTGTGTGCGTCACTGCGGAGAACATGCTGGTGAATCGAAGACCAGCTGGATTTGTTCATCAACTGGCCAAGTTCTCCCTTGCTTGGCAGGACTGTTAATCCTCGCGTTCACCGCACAGGCAAGCCTGGTTTTACGGTCTCAGTGACCTTCACGTTCATCGGCTCTTCACATTCTCTTGGGGGAGGATATACCTTAGGCATCCGACCTGTGCTTCAAGGGAAGAGCAGCGATCATGTGACTGCGTGCTCGTAAATCTCCAAAGTTTGAAATGAAGGCCAATCCCAAATATTTTTACGGAATGAACGAGAGTCCCGAAGCAATTATTTTATCCAATACAAAATTATTTTGCCTAACATATTTGGTGATTAAAGCATGGCTCTGGACTAAGTTCTCCAGGTAATTCTGCTTTTGACAACATGTGGCAGAAAACCAACTGAATCAGACTTTGACAGCAAGCACATTTCCTGGTCATGTATCCAGAACTCTCGTGTTACAGGAGGACTCTGCGTCGGCCAGACACTGTCTTAACTGTCTCAAGCTATTGTTTTCTCCTCGCAACTCTGCTGACAGGCGTCTTCGTCGTTATACTGGTTCTCTCCTGGGTGGAGGGTGGCTGCTAAGATGTAGCTGAGCCCACCAGGTCTTCACTAATTCCCTGAGCATCTTCGTAGGCACTGTGTTAGGTAAGGTACAGGTCAACTTGCAGCTGAAACAGAGACCCAGAAAACAGTGACAAAAGAGAGAAAAGTGTTTTTCTCTCGAACGTGCGCTCCCAGAGCAAGGAGCCCGGCTCTGGAGGGCGGCCATGTTCGGTAAGACCTTTGGGGACCCAGGGTCCATTTGTCTTGTTTCCCCAGCACCTGTGATAGGGCTCATGGCTGAAATGGGCCACCAGCATCTTCTTCTTCCATCCCTCAGGAAGGGGAAGACAGAGAGTGAGGGGCGAGCCTTTTCCTTTTTAAAGCATGGGACCCAGAACTTGTGCCCGTGGCTTCCACCTCAGTGCTGAGATCCTGGTCACAGGGCCACCCCTAGGGAAGGGAGCAGGTGGGCAGCCCTGCGCCCAGCTAAAATCCAGGGGCTTCTGTTTTCAAAAGGGAGAAGGGAAGGATGGGTGGTAGAGTCAACTGGCAGTCTTTCCCGACAGGTCATGGAAGCTGTTACTGTTTCATTGACTCTAAGACACTATTGATTTTAAGACATGTCATCATCCTATATAATAAAAGCCTAATATGCTAAGTGTCCAGTCGACCTGTTGGCTGTTCAACCAATCCAAGTGTAATACGCTAATGATATGCTAAGGCTGCTTAACTGCTCACTATGATGTGCACTGACCACCAGGGGGCAGACGCTCCAACAGGTCGGTTAGCTTGCTACTGGGGTCCAGCGGATGGGGACTGAGTGCGACGGGCCGGAAATGCCCTGGGTCCCTCCCGTGGTCCCTCTCTGGCTGGTCAATCTCCCGCTTCCCTCCATGGCCCTGATCATGCACCAGCAGGGTCCCTCGGCCTGGCCTGTGCCCTCTCGTAATCCGGGACCCCTTGGGGGATGTCGGAGAGCCGGTTTTGGCCAGATCCCTGCAGGCCACTCAGAGGGACCCCACTGGTGCACGAATTCGTGCACCGGGCCTCTAGTTATATAAATAAGAAAAAACGTGCTATTTAAACGATGACACATTGCTTTCTTATCAGCTCAGTTGAGGACATGACCCAACTTAAGAGATGTTAAAATGTGAAAAGTATGTGTCTTGGTATAGAACAAGTACAACATTTGCAAAGACTTGGGAAAGCAATGTGATCTGAAGGCATTTGTTTGCCGGCTTCTTTCGTGTGTGCTTGCCTTTCCCTGGAGTGAGCACAGGCAGGAGGTATTAACCTTTGGTTGACCATTCGTTGAGCATGATATTTAGAACAGACAACTTACTCTCAGTGTGAATTCACTCAAATTCCCACGACTGCTGGTAGAGGGACTTTGGGCTCAAAGACTTGGGGGAGATTTGCCCTGATTTCCACTCAAACAGCAATCTTGGTTTCACTGGATTAAAGAAAAGACCACCTTCTTGGGTGGCCAAATAAGAGATGAGCTGAATTGTTCTGGATCAGAAAGATGCTAGACAGACAGAAACAAAATGGCACCTGTGGTGCCACGCTCACCCTTGAACTTGATGTTACTCTATCTTATTTTTCAACATAAAGTTTTAGGCTTTAATAGATGAAGAATCACTTGTTTGGTTCCCACCTGCTCTGACCACTTTTACGCTCATTTTCTCCAATTAATGTTAATAAACGCACCACTGTATTTGACTCACGGACACCACTGCTCAAAGCATCGTAGCTTACAGCACTGCTGATATCAGCTAAGATTGAATTCTCAGCATAGCAGCCATGTCTCTGTGAGTTTGCCTAGAGGGCCTCGGGTTTAGGATGTGATAGTGCCAGGCCAGGTCGTCCCGGGAGCTCATCGGTGGGTAGCTGTGACCCTGGTCGATGACAGGTCTGGGATATGCAGGGGTGTCTTGCTGTCTGTTGCCACTGAACTCTGCTTCTCTTGTGCAGATCACCGTCACCGATGAGGAAGTTAGTAATCCGTCCTTTTTAGACCTGGTGAGAACTCCCCAAATGAGGAAGTGCACCCTTATTCTTATGTTTGCTTGGTAAGTTTGAGTTGTGATGGATTCAAAGCCTGTGTTAAATTCACACGCACCCCTCCCTCCGTCGGGTGGGAGTCGCCCTCACTCGCTCTCTCCCCGGCCGTCGGACGTCCGCAGGTTCACCAGCGCTTTGGTGTACCAAGGGCTGGTCATGCGCCTGGGCATCGTGGGCGGCAACCTCTACATGAACTTCTTCATCTCCGGAGTCGTGGAGCTGCCGGCCGCCCTCCTCATCCTCCTGACCATTGAGCGTCTCGGACGCCGTCTCCCCTTCGCAGCAAGCAACATCCTGGCCGGAGTGGCATGCCTGGTCACGGCGTTCTTACCAGAAGGTAAGTGTCCCCAAGTCCATCTGGCAGCCAAGGACGTGAAAACAATCTTAAGTCAGAAAGCGTCCGGAATAGAGACGCTCTTGTCCACCACATCGGAGTCTTGGTACCGGGTGCACTTCAGTGATGTCACTGACTTTCTGCTTAGTCACTTTTTTCTTCTCAGTTACTTTTTTTTTTCTTTTGGTTAATCCTCACCTGAGGATATTTTTCTTGTTGATATTTAGAGAGAGTAGAAGGGAGGGAGGGAGCAGGGGGGAGAGCGAGAGCCATTGGTGTGAGACACATTGATTGGTTGCCTTCCACACACACACCAGCCAGATGCCCTTGACTGGGAATCAAACCTGTGACCCTTTGGTGTGAAGGCCGGTGCTCTAACCACTAAGCACACCGGCCAGGGCTGTAGTTTACCTTCGATCACCTTTGTCTGACAAGCCTGTGTCTGGTCCTGTGGGCTTTGGAGTTTCCTAAGACGAGCCTGCCATCCCCACCACCCACGGAATCGGAATTAAGTATTCGCTGCGCGTGAAGTTAGGGAGGAAGATGGATGGAGGGAGGCCCATCAGCCCACGATGCACTTTGCCCGGGAAGAGCTCCCCCGCCCGGGGCTGCTGGGATGGTTTCCATGCGCAGCACTCGGCACGAACGACCCAGAGAGCAGACGCGGACGAGTCCAAACCAGCGCCCACGTCACCAGTGGGTGGGCTCAGCCATTGTGTAGAGCACACGTTCCTCTATGGGAAAATGTGAGACAGAGTCGTCCTGTTAGTTCAGTCTGATCTGTGTTAGTTTGGAGACATAACTTTCCATTTTAAGCGTTAGGGTTGCTCTTAGCGACGTCGAAAACCAACGGCTGCTATTTTAGACATTTCATGTCCATGTTCCGCAGATCGGGCTGTTGTGGGGTCACACGCTGGTCAGGACGGACAAGAATAAGTTTCAGGTCCCTAATGCTCCACGTGAGCACCAGGTACTCGTGTTCCTCCCAGGAGGGGACAGTCCCCATGTCCACGCACAGAGCTATTGGACTTGGTGACTGGGCTTTTCCATCCCCTTAGAGCAGTGGTTCGCGACCTTCTGGCCCTTTAAATACAGTTCCTCATGTTGTGACCCAGCCATAAAAGTATCTTTGTGGCTACTTCATAACTGTCATGTTGCTACTTTTATGAATCGTCATGTAAATATCTGATATGCAGGATGGTCTTAGGCGACCCCTGTGAAAGGGTCATTTGACCGCCAAAGGGGCCGCGACCCACAGGTTGAGAACCGCTGCCTTAGAAGGACTGTCCCTCGGTCACTCTCGAGTCGCCAGCAAGATGGTAGCCCCGGGAGAAGCTGGCCAGCCTTTTAGAGGAACCAGCGCTCAGAGGACCCCACAGAAAACAGCTTCCCAGCTTTCCCTCCACTGCGTACACCAGTCAGGGTCTGCAGCATGAAACTGGACAAAGAACTGGTCTTTCTGGCTGTACGCATCTCCTCTGAGTCTCACTGCTGTAGGCCCAAATTTCTGAAAAATAAAGAGCTTTCTCTGTCCGCCCTCATCTCTTCTATTTGAGTTTATTTAGGATGGCCGCAAACCCAGCACTTCAAGTCTGTCTTTTACTTCTGTTTCTCTTTAAGTGAAAAGTAGGCTCATATATCTTAATTCACATATTAGGCATTTTCACTACATTTTATTTCAAAACTCAGCACAGATGGCACATTCAGAGGAGATGCAAAATTGTGTTTATTTAAAATCCTGCTGGGGTTTTTTTTGGTTCAAAAATTGATTATTCCCAGTAATCTCTAGAAGTTTGACCAAATAAATCCACATCCAGAGGGACCCTTTCCCTGGGTTCCCCTGACTCTATGGAAGGTAGTTTCTGCTTCAGTGCTCAGTTTTAAATTGTCTTGTGATTCTTTGGTCATTGTTATCAAAAGATATCTATAACCACTTCACCATGAGCTTAGCACATTACTGGGATGATCACGATATTTGTATAATATTCACACACCAATTACACCTCCTAGTACATTGTTTTCATTTTATTCTTTAGTTGACCAACAGCATAGTGCCTCTGGGACTTCCGTAACGCATTTCAACAACATCTCTGTCCCTGTGTAGGGGCCGCTAAATGCTGGCCTCTGCGCTTGGAATGAGTTGAGGGTCTTTCAGATTAAGGTCATGTCTCCTCAAGGGCGTCAACTTTACAGCGTTTTCTGAATGATTTTCTGAACTGACTAGATGTTTTTCACGGGGTGTGTGTGTGTGTGTGTGTGTGCATGCATGCACGCGCTTTAATTTGATGTTGTCTGAATCTTTCCAGCAGACTGTCCTAGCCTCAGCTGTAAACCTAATTTGCACTGAAGTTGTCAATGGAACTCATTTATAGCGCGATCTTGATTCAGTAGAAAGCGCCTATAGTTAAGAGCCTCACTCGGATAATCGGGTTATTTCCACGTCCACGGGCACATTCTTCTCCGCAGCCCGAGAGCAGTGGGCGGCTGCCCGGCCGGGCGGGGGCCCAGGGAGTCTGGGCAGCGGCTCCCACATTCCGTTCCCGGGACCTGGCTGTGCCCCACCCGCTCAGCGAGGGAAGGGGCGGGATGCCCTTCCCAGGCCCCCGGGCTCCCGTGAAAAGGCAGAGCCTGAATAAAACGCATGTTCCCCGCTGCTCTGGCTGGAGCAGAGCGGCCAGCACAGCAGCAGGACGCTGAGGGCCTCGGTGCGAGAGCTCCAGGTGACGCCCGCCCGGGGAAGCTCCCAGTGCACCCGGCCGCCTGGCCATGGCCTAGGCTCCTGGCCATCCTTTCTTCTGCGTGCCCCTAGACAGCTGCTTTATTTCGTGGGGTTAGCTTTTTTAAAAAAATATGTTTTTATTGATTTCAGAAAAGAAGGGGAGAGGGAGAGATAGAAACATCAATGATGAGAGGGAATCGATGATCGGCTGCCTCCTGCACGGCCCCCACTGTGGATCGAGCCCGCAACCCGGGCCTGTGCCCCTGACCAGAAGGAACCCAGGACCCTTCAGTCTACGGGCCGACGCCCTATCCACTGAGCCACACCGGCTAGAATCGTGCGCTGTGTTTGTCAGTGAACGAACCAACTAGTACTTGGGAGTCTGGCTCCTCTGGGTAATTTCTCGGGGAAGTAGCCAGACTGGGGATGAGGAAGACAATGGGTGACAAACCCAGTGACCAGGCACGGCGTAGACGCCCCTTTCCCAAGACCCAGCCCAGCCCTCGCGGCCTTGCTGGTCTCCCGGAACCAGGGGCATCTGGTGTGGGGTTACCTGCCTGTGGTCATCGCCACGGGGTCTGAGCAGAAAAGGGCACAGCTGGTTTTCCAGGCGCACGTCGGGGCCGCCTCCGGACCAGAGGCCGCGTGCGGGGTCCTCCCAGGCAGACGCCGCTCGGAGCCTGGTTCCAGCGTAGTGGCCGCTCAGCAAGTGACTCTCACACCGTGTTCCCAGCAAGGCAGGCGGCACTGAAAGAGCAGCCACGTCCTGGGGGTGGTGATCGCTGCTGAAATTCGGCTACAGCGCTAGAAGGTGTTGATCACCTGTGCTGAGAATTAGCAAAGGCTCGGGGCTGCGAGGACAGTAAGTGAATGCCTCGCGTGGTTTGTAAACCTGCCCTGAGAGCCGGCCCTCACCCTGCCTCCCGGCCCTGTGTCCCCAGGAACACCCTGGCTAAGGACCACGGTGGCCACGCTGGGGCGACTGGGCATCACCATGGCCTTCGAGATCGTCTACCTGGTCAATTCGGAGCTGTACCCGACGACACTACGGTAACCCCAGCACCTGTCACGGCTTCTCCTGAGTCGCTCCGCGGCCGAGTGCTTGGAAGCGACTTCAAAGCCACGAAATAGTTCCCTTAGCTCGATGCTGTATGCACGTGGCCTCCCTCAGCTGTCAGGGTGGCCTGCTCCGAGCTGGAGCTGCTTTCTGCATTGCCTTCATCCATGTTTTGGGATAGGATTTCTCACCCCGTATCTTCACACACAGCCGTGGTTGCGTGGAAGGGCACTAGGCTGGAATCAGAAAAACCTGGTTAGCACACGTGCTTCGATGGGGGTTGCTCTGCCGTCACCAGCCTCACCTGTTTAAAGGCTGCCACCTCCTTTCTGACCCCATTCCATGTCTCGGGTCGGGAGCAGCCAGCGGCTGCGGGAGAAGCCACGTGTGCAGGCGCTCGTGCGGATGGCTCCTTCCCCGGGGGGGCGCCCGGCACAGCTCGCTGTCCGCCTCACCATCACCCGGTTGGAAGCATTAGAGCAGAAAAGCAAAATAGGACCCAGGAGGACACATGATTTGCTAAAAGAAGGTTGCAGAGCTAAGACTAACACTTGCATCTTCTGACTCCAAATCTGGGGTTCTTGCTAGAATTTCTCAAACTTTCAGCTGGCGGAGGATGCTGCCCCCCAGCCCCTAAAGCTCCCCCCTACCCCCCACATGCCGCGCTCACCAGCTGGGGAGTGGTCCGAATGGAAAGGGTTTGCCTGGAGTGTAGAGAGCAGTCGTTTTCAAAGTTCAGAGCCGTAGAAAAGCAAAATCCTGTCACAATTTCTTAGCTACGTACATGTCTGACTATTTTGCTCCTCTTGAGTTTAACTCAGCGTTTGTTTTTCATGTGAAACTGCTTTATCCGCAGGAACTTCGGGGTGTCGCTCTGCTCCGGGCTGTGCGACTTTGGGGGCATCATCGCGCCCTTCCTGCTCTTCCGCCTGGCCGCCCTCTGGCTGGAGCTGCCGCTCATCATCTTCGGTGAGACGCCGCCTGTCGGCGCTGGCGGGCTGTCTGCAATGACGGGCACTTGACATTCCCAGGACGACCGAGCGTTGCGGTTTGGGGAGTCCCTCTGCAACCCTTTCTTGTTTAGGTTCTGAGTTAAAATCAAATACAGTAAAACTCCTTTATGGTCTTGGGAATAACTAAAGACCAATCATTTTCATGAGACCAAATTAGACCCACGGTCTGTTTCAAAGACGCCCCAAACCAATTACATTATTAAAGGTTCTGTACCTGCCATTATCGGACTTCATTTGCTCAGATGCTGAGCATGCGATGCTGAAAGAGCGGAGGACCCAGGTCCCTCGCGCATCTAACATAAACCCTCTGATGGCCCCCAAGGTCACGGCCTCCTTCCTGCCCCCCATCTCTGTAGAACCCTGAGGGGACAGAATCAGACTGGGGGGGACCTGGGGTAATTCACCAGTGCTGTTCTGCCTCTTCTCTGGCCCCCCCCCCACCCCCCAGCAAGAGAGGACCCTCGTCCAGCTTTCCCCAACCTCCCCTTCCTTTTGCACAACAGTTTCAATTACCCTGAAAAGGCTGGGTCCCTGCGGACACATGCTGAGTAAAGGAACCCCCAGAGACGTCAGGGACTGTGGAGTCAGCCTCTGACCACTTGATGCCAGTGAAATCGGGAGAGGAACGTTTTCAATATTCCATGGGATCTGGTCCTTGAGCTCAGTCGAGGCTGTAGCCAGTACGGAAGAGCAAAGAGGGGGCCGTGGTTCAACCAAGATGAGTGGTCTCGGAGCCCTGCATCCGGGCAGTGGCCTGGCCTGCAAGGGGCGCTGGGGGAGCCGGGCACTGGCTCTGGAGCGCAGGCCGTGCCTTCGCAGGGAGAGCCAGCTGTCAAACAGGCAGGATTAATGACAGTGTCTGCAATATACAAAAGGCAGGCACAATTGCACATCATCGGCTCCCAACTCATTTGGGTTTGCTGTATTCTCTGCGTTCCTGAGGCTTTTGTGTTTTTGTCTCTTTGTGGTAGAAACCTATAGAGCCGTGTGCTACTGCACGCCTCGTCCGCGTGCCTCATTCAGTGAGGTGGCATCAGTAGTGCGCACTGTCCATGGGGGAGTATTTACACCGCGGAAATTGGCAGCTATAAATCAGGGCTTTGTTTTTTGGGGAGCCGATTGGCAGACATTCGCCAGCTCCCCGCGAGGACAAGATGTGCAGAAAATAGGAGAGGATAGTGTTTCAGAAACTTCAATTCTGAAGATCCGAACAAGGGAGGCTGGTACATGGGGATAATGTGAGGTTGTCGGGAGGATCCTGAACGAGGAAAGATTTGAGTATGTTTCCTGCTGCTGCCACTGGGCGCAAGGTGCTGGGGGAGGATTAACCACTACAGTGAGGAGCCTGGGAAAGACACCAGGAGACGGGCCTGGGGCGAGGGGACAGGCCTGCAGTGGCCTCTGCCGGGAGGAGGAAAGCGGGGACAGGAAGCAGTGACGCTCTGGTGTCGGGAACAGGGCCTGAGGGACTTCTCTCTGTTGGCTTCTGTTTTCCCCGGAAGGAGCAGATGAGGCTTCTCTGAGGCCTTGGCACTTAGTAGGTGCTCAATAAGTAACTGTTCAGTGGTGAGTGAAGGAATGCCCACCAAGAGCACGGGCGCGGGGACTGCACAGGGCGGGGGGTAAGGAAATCATGGCAGAGGAGAGCGACAGAGCTGTTGAGGGTCACCGGGGGCCGCAGCCGGGGCCCGCAGCCGGGGCCAGTGGAGGCGGTGAGCTCGCTGCTTCCCGGTGGCCTCACCAAGGGGCACCGGGCGGCGTGCGACCTGGTGGTGACACCTTTCCCTGCCCACAGGTGTCCTGGCCTCCGTGTGCGGCGGCCTCGTGATGCTTCTGCCTGAGACCAAGGGCATCGCCTTGCCGGAGACGGTGGACGACGTCGAGAAGCTGGGCAGGTATCGTATGGCCTTCAGCGCCTCCTCAGTCACAGCGGCGTTCAGGCCACCAGGGGAAGGAGGTACTGAGACAACTGAGTCCCCGGGGGAAATAACATAATCCCTGCCTCACAGCCCAAGCAAAAGTGAGAAGTAGTTGTCAAAGGTAAATGTAAAAAAACAACAACAAACAACCCAAGCTTTGGAAGAATATTTATTCTTTTTAAAAGGTGGCTATGAAGAGGGAGATATTTCCAAGGTAGGTGTTAAAATTCAGAAGCAATCTAAAGGAGAAGGAGTGATGATTGGACAAAGTAGAAATAACGTAACTGTGCAACAGTAGACAAATGGCTATAAAAATAATATCTTCACAGTATGGGTTACCAGACAGAGATGAAAAGGATTAAGGTAGATCTACATGCAATGGCTTGGGGAGATTTTCAAGACTGACTACAAAATGAAAAGTCACCAAACAATGTGTTAGAGTGTTTATTAAAGATAAAACCAATAGAAGTTTCTATCTGTAGCGTGGTGGGAAGATAGATGATAGAGATGATAGATAGATAGATAGATAGATAGATAGATCATTGATAGGTAGATAGCTGATAGATGATCGATAGGTAGACAATAGATAGATAATAGATAGACAGATAGATGATTGATGATAAAGACAGGTGGACAGATAGAAGTAGGGGTACTAGAAATATCAGGGGAAACACTAGAAACCTGTGGGTCGTGACCCCTTTGGGGGTCGAACAACCCTTTCACAGGGGTCGCCTAAATACATCCTGCATATCAGATATTTACATTAGAATTCATAGCAGTAGCAAAATTACAGTTATGAAGTAGCAACGAAAATAATTTTATGGTTGGGGGTCACCACAACATGAGGAACTATATTAAAGGGTCACGGCATTAGGAAGGTTGAGAACCACTGCATTACACAAATTTAACTTTCTCCATTTGAAATCTTTCAGAATAAAAAGGAAGGGAGGTTATGACTATGACAGGGTGTAGGAAAATACCTAAAATAATAATATATACCCCGTGGAGATAGAGACGGGCTGGGAAGAGGGATGCAAGAGGGAAGACATTCCTCTTATAGTCTATAGACTTGCATATTGTTGGATTAAAAAAAATAAATTACAGTGCGTTGTCTTGTATTACTTGTGTAATTTTTAAAAGTAACTTAACAGCTATTTTTAAAAACAAAAATCACTCTTCTTCTAAAGAATGACCTGGAAATTAAGGGTTTGGGTCTCTAAATTTTAAACAAATGTATCAAAAATATTTAACAAAACACTGAAATGTTAGTCACCTCATGGGAGTTTTTTTCCTTGTACGTTGGGAAGAGAGTAGGTGCCCATTTTTAGGTGCCGATGCGATTGATGGTTTCACGTGTGTCATTTTATTTAAAGCCCAACGATTAGGGCAAAACCACCCTCACCTTCCTGTGGACTAGGCAGCCGATGCTCAGAGCTGGTTCTGCGGGCCGGGACTGGGTCGTGCTCTCCGCGGCTCAGGGGCGCCCGCTGTTCTGTGCAGGTTTATTATTTTGTGCTGTATCCTCCTTCAGTATGAATTTTAAATAGTGGGGATCCCCACGGTAGAACTGGAATGTATCCCTTTACACTCTCTTTTAATGAGGTCTTCCCCCTCCCCCGAGGTAGCCACCCGCTACTGCGTGTCTCATGAGAACTTCACTAGGACCCGGGAAACGTATGCGGTGATTTCATTGTCCTGTTTCTTCTTCTTTTTTTAAAAAAATATATTTTTATTGATTTCAGAGAGGAAGGGAGAGGGCAAGAGAGAGAAACACCAATGATAAGAGAGAATCATTGGTCACCTGCCTCCTGCTCACCTCCTACTGGAGATCAAGCCCGCAACCTGGGCATATGCCCCGACCAGGAATCTAACTGTGACCTCCTGGTTCATAGGCCGACGCTTAACCACTGAGCCACGCCGGCCGGGCTTTTGTCCTGTTTCTGGATGCCGTTTTGAAAACTCAGGTTGCCCGAGCTTCCCAGAGCCTAAGAAAGGCTTCCCGAACCGCGGCCCCAGCCCTGTCCGCGGGGCTGTCGGCGGGACTGGCCGATCAGAGGGCTGTCGCGCTTGTCCCTGAAGTAGCCCAAACAGGCTTATGCTCATCTGGGAGTGACAGGCACCGGCTTACTCCTCACCCACCACTCTGCCTGCATGTCACCTGGGACGATGCTACAGGGTGGAGTTTGGGGGCGGGAGCAGAGTCCCCTCAAGCCTTGCCATGTCGTAAACGAAAATTAGGAAGAGAAACTTAAAAGGTGTGAAAACTGTGGGAAGCCCTCCAGAGCGTCACACTCGCATGGGGAGGTCTTGCTTCAACAGGAAGTAGAGACACAGTTCCGCTAATTCAGTCATCACAGACCATTTCTTGGTTCCCACCGAGGTATGGAGCCAGGTCAGGGTTGTGGGTGCCGAGTCCTGTCCCCAAGTCGCAGCAGTGCTAGCAGATTGGGGGGGGGAGGAGAATATTCAGGAAGCTTCCATGAAGCAGGGGACACGGTGGGGATGGAGGTAGGGCCGTCTTACAGTGAGAAGCTCAGACGTGAGGGGTAGCTCTTGTGAGCTGATGTGCCTGAGGGCTGCTGGGCTGGGGTACCCAGGAGAGCACCCCAGCCAGATCCCAGGGTCAGAGGCAGGAGTTAGTGCTGGCGGCATGGGCTGCATGTGGGGGCTCCTGGACCCCCACCCAGTCTGGGTGCAGTTCCTCCCCCATCACCCCTCAGTGCCAATGATCCAAGGGCACAGCATTCCTCTGGTTGATTCTGCTCCTTTTTCTGGTCCCGTTCTTCCTGTTCCTATAGTGTTTGGATGCTCGTTTTCCCTGCACCCCATCCCGATGCCCTCTGCTCCCCAAAGTTCCACCTCTCCCAGTGGTTTCACTCTAATGACTAACTTGGTAGGCGATTTCCTGACCTCAAGACTCGCCCATCAGGGGTCAGATTCTCAAACTCCTCAGGGTAAAGTGGAGGATGCAGGCATTTGGGGTCAGGACTCACCTCCCAGTTAGTCCTTACCTCAGCGTGAAGCCAGCGGGAGAAGCAGGGTTCTGAGGAGCACAGGGCATCAGGGTGGGGTGCCGGGAAAATGAGCCTCCAAGCCCTAGAGGAATGGGAAGAAGTGGAGCAACAGGAATTCAACTCACACACATTGTTTCTATGTTTGTAACTTTTCATAACAAAAATTTTGATAAATTATTAATTACTAGAGGCCCGGTGCATGGAAATTCATGCACTGGAGGGGAGTCTCTCAGCCTGGCCTGCCCCTTCTCACAGTCCAGGAGCCCTCAAGGCGGGAGGCGACCCGTTGATCAGGGAAGGCGACGCCCC